TACACACACACACACACACACACACACACACACACACACACACACACACACACACACACACACACACACACACACACACACACACACACACGCGCGCGCGCGCGCGCGCTCACAACCACAAGCAAGCTAGGACCAGCCAACGCGGACGAGGCGTGGGGATCCTGGCAGCTTGGCAAGCTTTGAGTCGTGCTGCCGCTTCTCCTCAAGCATGCGCTTGTACTCGGATGCGTAGTTGAAGGCCATGTTGATGCAGTCGCACAGGGCGTCGGCGTCTGCGGTGGTGTTGGTCATGATCATGAAGCACTGGTACGGCTTGTGCTTGTCCTCGTTGAAGCGGTTCAGCGCCATGAGGGTGATCATCTTGGGCTTGGCGGTCTTGTCGGACTGGTGGCGCGCAAAGGAGCGCAGCTCAGCAATTGGGATGACGGCCACGCGCTCCCCCTTTGTTGTGGTCATGGTGACCTGGTCGGAGGTCACCTCCACGGTGACCTTTGCGGCCTTTGTCTCCGCGCGCAGCACGGCCTCCAGGGCACGGCTGGCGTAGGAGAGCAGCTTGTTGTTGTCGCCGTTCTTGCACAGCGCAAACCCAAAGTACTTTGCCGTGAACGTCTTGTGCACGCGTGGCGTGGCTGGCTTCCCCAGCTGCTTTGGCTGGTTGCGGGCCAGCGACTCGCACACCCCGACCGTATCCTGCTCAAAGTTCATCCTCGCCCCTGTCTCTGGTTAATTGGCTGGCTGGTTGGACTGGGTTGGTTGGACGGGTTGGTTGGACTTGTTGGTTGGACTACTTGCTTGGCTGTTGCTGGGATTGGTCGTCTTGGTGCTGGTGTTGCTCGGCAAACAAAGAAACTTGCTCTTCCTTGCTGGCGTTTTGTGTTGGTGTTATTGGTGTGTAGCTGCTGTTGGTGTGTTCCTGGATGCATGAATGAATGAATGACACACTCTCGCCAACACACTGTCATCTCTCCCACACCGCACACACAGCACACAACACACACCAGCACACAGCACACAGCACAGCCAACCAACGTTCTCGCACACCCGGAAAAGCATGCGTGGCAGCCAGGCTATGCGGTTCGGCGCGCGTTTGGGATTGTTCGCTTCTAAACCCTGACTAAATGCAACGCCACGCAATCGACACGCGCTTGCTTCGCCACCCTCAACGTGCTTGCTTGTTTGCCTGCAACAAACAAACATCGCCAAGAAGAACACCGCCAAAGCATCGCCCACGCCCTGTCCTCCCTCCGTGTCACACACACGCTTTCGCCTTGCTCCCAAACTCCCCAAGGCAGTCAGTCTCACTATCCCTGTATCCAACACCCAACCATCGCCACACCGCCCCCATGACAGACCCAAACAGGCACATCCACACAATCCAACCATCCTGTTGCTCTTCCATGCCTTTCTTCCCATGCCCCCCTCTCTTGCTTCGCTTGTTCTTCTGTGTGCCGCACACCACGTCAGCAGGTATGTGTGTGCCTGTCTTGGTGGTGCTCATTGATTCTTCCTCGAGCAACCCTTGCTGACGTGCTCGCCTCACTTGGCGTGCTTGCTTGTGCTTGCTTGTGCTTGCTTTGGTGCCCACCAACCCACACCACCACGCTTGCCACGACCACTTTCTCGTTGTTTGGTCGCGTGCCATCCATCCACCCATCCACCCATCCACCCATCCATCCATCGTTCCTGGTCCCAACGCGCGCTGCAGGTGTTCAACTTGCGCATTGAGAGAAAGCCAGACCATGGATGTGGACATCACCGTGCGCCAGCTTGCGCACCACCACCACCAACACGCCATGTTGCGTGCGTCCAGTGCTGCCAAGTTCAAACCCACCACCACCACCGCCACAAACAACGACAGCAATGGCAACAGCTGCGACAACAGCTTGCGCGTGCTTGCAGGCACCAACAACGCCAGTCCCGCTCCAATCAACAGTGTTGATAATGTGTCGAGCCTGCACGAGCACCAGCAGCAACGACAACAACCACAACAACAACCACAACAACCACAACAACCGCAACAACAACAACAACAGCAGCGACGCCACCAAGGGCGAGCGCGCTCGAGGAGTACGAGCCCGTTCCAGATGCATTGTCGCTCTCGCAGTGCCACCGTCAGTGCGGGCAGCAGTGGCACCTCAAGTCGCCCGACCACCCCGACCACCGCCATCAACGTCCGCATCAGCACCAGCGCCCCCGCCGGCGATACCAGCAATAGCCACCACGACGGCGTCTCGTGTTGGGACACAAGCCGCGGAGCTGCTGATGTTTGGCATGGGGTTCGCCCAAACGCACCCCCACCCGCAATAACAGGCCAAGTGCCCGAAAGTGCAGCACCGTCTCCGGTGCCCAAGCCCAACACACCACCGACAACAACGACGCCAACATCAACCACAGCACCTTCGGCACCCAACACCAGCACAGACTTCCAGAAGACGGGCAGTGCCAGCAGAAATCGCAGGGGTGGTGGTCGCAGCCCCGCGGCATGTTCCTCCGCCCCAACGACCTCCTCTACTCCCCCATCCCCTCGTTCCTGGCGCGCGGCGTCCGCCCGACAGCGCAGTTACACCATCTCCACGTCTGCTGCGCCATCCCCAGCCGTCCGCGCCTTCCTTGCGCAGCGCGCGCCAAGCTTCGCCTCCGGCATCACCAGGTCCTCTCGCACCTCTTCCTCCAATACCAACGCCACCGTGAGCGAGGTGCCCAAGGACGTGCTCCAGCGCAGCCTGCCGGCCACAAACGTGCCGCAGCGCTGGAGCAAGAGGGCGACACCAGCACCGTCGTCGGCGTCTTCCTCCTCTCCTTCACCACCCGCTGACACGGCGGATGCGGGTTCCAACCAGTCCAACCAGCCTGACCATGGGCCCCGACCTCACCGCGACAGCAGCGACACCACCACAAGCCACCACAGTTCCTGCTCGCACGCCGTCCCCTACTACCAGCAGCGCCTGCACCACCAGCAGGATCAGGACACGCGTTCCGCACAGCACCACCAACAGCACACGCTGCCCACGACCCAGCGCCCTGCATCGCCCAAGACACACCTGCAGCAACAACACCAACAACACCAACAACACCAACAACACCAACAACACCAACAACACCAACCGCCACAGCCGCAGCAGCAACAACAACGCCAACAAGCATCGCTGTCTCGCAAACAGCGGCGCTGGCGCTCTCGCACCTTGGGCCACGCACCACGCGCCTCGGCAAAGGTGGGCGTTGCCCAGGATTCCCGAGCCTGCAAAGCCCAAACGCTCGACAGGTCCAAGTCCAAGCGTCAAGCGGGTCGGGGCGGCCGTGGTGCGACCCTTGGCGTGGTTCCTGATGAGGGTGCATCACCGTCGGATGACCAGCGCGTTGCAGTGCCATCGGAGGAGCCGCCCGTTTGCGTGCAGGCAAAGTATGTGTCGCACATCGACATGTCATGTGCATCTTCGCTGGACGTGGTGCAGCTGGGCTGTCGCGCCGCTGGGCGAATTGTCTCGCACTTGACGCGCAAGGACCTGGCTGATACCCACAAGCGTCTGGTTGTCCTGAACGCCCGCGGCCTACTCATCTCGGACAACAACACGGGCGACCCTTTGCTCTACCTGCCCATGCGCCACCTGCGCTGCAGCAGCACCCAGGCCGGCGTTGGCGGCAAGCTGGACATGGTTGCCGTGGTGGAGATTCGCGTGCAGCCGTTCCAACAGCCCGTGTACCGCACGCACGCGCTTGCCTTCAAGACACCGTCCGCTGCGCGCGATTTCCACCACCGCCTCTCCCAGCGCATCCAAGCGGCGGCAGAGCGGCTAGTCACTGCGTCCCGCCCCGGTACCGCAACCAGCACGTCCATGTTCTCTCTCTTCGGCAGCGCCACCAGCACCAGTGCCACCAACACGAGCGCCACCAGTGCGGTCGGCAGCGGAGCTGGTAACGTCACCTTTACGACCCCTGCGATGGCAATGGGCATGATGAGTGTGGGTGGGACAGATGGTCAGCGTGCCCGCTCGTACGCTGTTCGCTCCACTCCAATGTATCTTCCGCATCGCCCACGCCCGGCATGGGTTGAGCGCTTCTGATGATGGCCGTCTTGCTGTCTCGCTGTTGTTGCTTTGTATGTGTGTGCATGTGTGTGTATTTGTGTGTGCATATGTGTGTGCGTGCATGCGTGCGTGCGTGTGTGTGCGTGTGTGTGTGTGTGTGTGTGTGTGTGTGTGTGTGTGTGTGTGTGTGTGTGTGTGTGTGTGTGTGTGTGTGTGTGTGTGTGCGTGTGCGGATTCGCTGCGCGTGTGTGTTTCGGTATTTCATTCTCACAGCCTTTGTCTCTTTGTGGCGGCATAGCCCAAAGCGTGTAGTTCGTGTGACTTTTGCTGGTCATGTCGGAGTCATCTTTCTTCGTTCCTTGTGCGAAGTTCGTCTGCTCTGCTTACTCTTCCGAGATCAGAGCATTGAGATCATGCAGAGCGTGTACTTTGGTAGTTGCGTGTGCGCGCACGTGAGAGAGTGTGTGGTTTGCTTAGTTACGACATAAACCCGATGCCTGTGAGTTCGATATATTGGGAAGAAAACAAAGCACAAGGGACAGAAGGAGATCACAGTCGGATACGAAGCACATGTTCACATACACACACACACACACACCGTGCACACGAACGCAAATGCACGTAGCTTACACACACACACGCACACGTACACACGCACACACATATGCACACCACTCCTCTTGACTATTCATGGCTTGTTGCTGGGTTGGACTGTGTGGTGGTGACAGGGGTGTGTTGTGGCTGAGAGATAGGTGCTGGTGCCGACGGCGGCGGCTGCTGGCGCTGCTGGGGTATGACAGTGGTTGACGGGATGTGCTGTCGCTCCTCCTCTGTTAACAACGCCAGCCACGGATCCATGCTCATGGCCATGTGAAAGTAGCTCTGCGGCTCCTCGTCGTCTCGATGACGCCTGAACGGTGACAAGCGACACGGCAAGTGTATCTCTTCGGTGAGTGGCAAGTAGCAAACCACGCACAATGATCCACCACTGCGACACTCGCAACAGGCACGCAATGAACAAGAGGCAACAAGCAAGCACAGACACAAACACGAACATGCATAGCTGCCCGCACGCACGCATGCAGACACACACGAGTTTACAGACGCATACATGCAGAGACACACGTGTACGCTGTACGTACGGTCGTCTGTTCTGTCCTCGACCGCGTCCACCGCCACCATTACCACCACGCCCTCTGCGCCCTCGACCTCGACCTCGACCACCGCCGCCATAGCCGCCGAATCGTGGCTGCGGCGGCGCCTGCAACCGTTGTTGTTGTTGTTGTTGTTGTTGTTGTTGTTGTTGTTGTTGTTGTTGTTGTTGTTGTTGTTGTCGTTGAAATGTGACAATATTCGAGCGAAGATGGCGCGAGCGTGAGCGCGCAGTCGAACACAATGCCTGCGCTAGCATCAGCATGCAAGCATTTCTGCACACACATACACACACGCACACACACACACACACGCACACACACACACGCTCACACACACACACACACACACACACACACACACACACACACACACACACACACACACACACACACACACACACACACACGTCGAAATGTACGTACCGCTGAGATGAGTGGTGGCCCAATTCCCCTGCCCATACCCATGGAAGGCGGTTGTGCCCAGGGAGGTGGCGGCATCGCCCCACCAAACGGCGGCCGAAACCCACCACGTCCACCATAACCACGGCCATAACCACCGCCACGACTGCTGTCCCCCATTGTTGTATTCGTGCGCCTGTGGCAGCTGCAAGTTGTGGCGATTGAAAGAAAATATCCACGACATTTCCGCAACGGCAGGACTCAGCGAGCAAAAGCGAGCTTCTCGCTTGCTTCCTTGCTTGCTTGCTTGCTTGCTCTCCCTCTCACCCCCCCCCCCCCCAACACACACACACATACACATACACACACACTGATGCCGGTGCGACAGAGCTGGGTGGCTGCAATCGCCACGGGAGCATTTGTGTTTGGGGTGTGCCTTGGCGTGATCTTTTTCTCGCTCGTGTACCAGCACCAACACCACAAGCTCCACCAGCACCACATGCAAAGCAGAAGCGACTTGAACCTTGACAATTATCACACAGCTTGGACCAACACACAACAACAACAACAACAACAGCAACGAGGCAGCCAACGACAGAGCGGCAGGAACAACCACCCTCCACCGCTGGGGCCTGAAGCAAGCACTGTTGCTGCAGCTGATTTGGAAGTGACATGGCCAGACGCTGCTGCGAGTGCCGTGAATCGCAGACCCAGTCCAGCTCGCCGTCGGTCTGGCAAGCGCACACGCACCAAGCACCCGAATGCCGCAGTGCCACCAGCACGGACAAGCAAAGTCACCCACCACCGCGACGCCAATGACCATGCCAACAACAACAACAACAGCAGCAACAACAACGATGCCACGAAGGTCAACAGTAACACGCACTCGTTCCCTTTTTGGCACACGGCGCTTTCCAAGAAGGAGCGGCATGAGAGGTTGCGGGAGCTGCAGGCCCGCGTACTGCAGCGCCTGCATGACACGCAGTTTGGGGACAGCAGCAACATCATGGTGTGCGAGATGATGGCCGGATGCGGGTTCGGCTGCCTCATGCACCGCGTCGCAGTGTGCTTGAACCGGGCATTGGAGACAAATCGGACCATGTACATGCCAAGGATGATTGGCACCTACCGCACAGACGGCCCCGACTGCAGCGGCTGGGACTGCTTGTTTGAGCCCGTGCGCCGGCCCATCACCCTGCACCAATCCAAGGACGATCTCGCAATGCAACGCGTGCGGCGCTCGGCCGACGACCGTTCGTTGGGACCCTCAATGCACGGCATCAACTCCACTGTGGCGACGTTTCGGCTATCCCCGGTCCTGTCCTCAAAGGAGGCCTTTGATCACCCCTTGCCAGCGTTCATCCGGGACGAGGTGGAGGCCCTGTTCCTGCGCAAGCGCGATGCCCGCTTGTGGTATGTTGGGCAGCTGATTGGCTGGCTGATGCGCCCAAACGCGCGCATGAAGGCCATACTGCAGCGAAAGCTGGCCGACTTGCAGCTGTCCCTCCCCGTTGACTTTGCCGTGCACATTCGCATGACGGACAAGCTGAAGAAGGAGGCAAAGCTGCATTGCTGGCGCGAGTACTTTTTGCACGTGGACCACTTTCTCTTCAGCGACAGCCAGTACTGGCACACCATGCACTCGTACACGCCCAACACCACCGCCTTTGTGGCTACAGATGACCCCTCCATCTTTGCAGAGGGCGACCGCAACTCCCTCAGCACATGGCGCCACAACCGCATTGTCTGGAATCCAGAAGGTCTTCCGCTGCTTGTGCGCGTGTGCTTGTGTTGTGTGAGCTGTGCGTGTGCTTCTGTGTGTGTGTGTGTGCGTCTTCGTGTGTGAGCTGTGAGCTGCGAGCTGCGAGCTGTGCGTGTGTTCTTGTTTGTGTGTGTGTGTGTGTGCGAGTGTGTGTGTGCTTGTGTGTGTGTGTTTGTGTGTGAGCTGTGAGCTGTGAGCTGTGCGCGTTGCGCGTGTGCTTCTGTGTGTGTGTGTGTGTGTGTGTGTGTGTGTGTGTGTGTGTGTGTGTGTGTGTGTGTGTGTGTGTGTGTGTGT